AAGACAAAGAGAGACAGAGAGAGAGAGAGAGAGAGAGAGAGAGAGAGAGAGAGAGAGAGAGAGAGAGAGAGAGAGAGGAAGAAGGAGGAGGAGGAAGAGGAGGAGGAAGAAGAAGAGAAGCGAAAAACAAAACAAAAACCAGACCAGGAGCCAGAATTTTTTTCTGGATTTCCTGGTCTCAGGCCAGGACAGAACCAAGGACGTTATTGGCTTCCGGCCGAGGGTAATATTCGACTGCTGCTTTCCAGGTCCCTTCCCTAAACTGCTGACCCATTTCTATTGCCTCTATTCATCACTAAGATGGGATTGGAAAGGAGCTTAAACTCTGGGGAAACTTGTTTTTATAGACGTCTAGAGATAAGGGTTCTTTAAAGTACCATGACTTTTACTAGGAAGAATATATGACTTGGAAGCAGGATCGGGTTGGAGGCACTGGATGAGAAATTAAGGCCACAGCCAGTGTGATGACACATGCCTTTACTCCCAGCATTGGGGAGGCAGACAGATCTCTGTGAGTTTGAGGCTAGCCTGGTCTACATAAGAAGTTCCAGGCCAGCTGGGGCTACAGGGAGACCCTGTCTCAAAAATACCAGGAAACAAAAAAAAAAATTAAGACCAAAGCTGAAGGTCGCCTTGGGCAGCACAGGGTGACTGTTCTTCCCTATAGCAGCAAAAGTGGAGAAGGGACTCTTGTTAGCACCCTGGAGAGGGAGAGACAGAGAGACTGAGACAGAGACACAGAGACAGAAACAGAGACCAGGGATATAGGGCTAGATCTCCACTCAAGCTGCCACATGTGGTCTCTTAAAGCAGCTGTGTTCTTGAAGTGTCAGGTCCATGCATGATCTAACAGGCATTACCAAAAAATAATCCTTACATATAGTTATATGCTATATAGTTAAAATGCTGAGTATATAACAAAGGAAAAATAAAAAAGCTGCAAGACAGAAGTGCCAAGTAACTTATAAAGGAAAACTTATCAGAATAATAGCAGTGCTCTAAGCAGAAATGCTGAAGTCCAAGAAGTCATGAAGTGAAGTGTATCAAGTCCTGAAACAAAATAACTGTGCAAATTATCCATTAAAGTTGAAGAAACAAAGACCTTCCGCAATAAGCATAAACTCAAGCAAATCATGACACTAGTCCAGGATTGCAGAAGATACTTAAAGGAATAGGAAAAAGAAAAGAGGAAGAAAGGTCCACACAAGTATGACAGCTCAGAGCAGAATAAATCTTATTAGAACTGACTCACAAGTGACAATTAGGCAAAAGATGAAATCTATTAACTCAGAAAAACAAGCAAATCTCTAAGATGAATAAGGGAGACATGAGTTCATATTAATAATATAAATAATAATCATCCTAAATAGAAAGTCTTAACCCTGGAAATAAAACACATACCCTGGCTGACAGGATCTTTAAAAAGGATTCAACTGTTTGTTGTCTACAGAAACTTACCTCATTGACAAGGAAACAGACTGAAAATGAAAGAACAGAATGTGACAGTCCAAGAAACAGAATCGGAAGGCGAGCAGGAGAAGTGATATTGATAGCCAATAAAGCAGACTTGAAGCCAAATTCAATCAGAAGAAAAAAGGTCACTACCGTAATAGGGCCCCTTCTTGACCATAGCCAGCCATGTTAAAGTTTAGGCTGACTTTAGTCTCTGAAATTATCTGGCAGTTGGCCCAGGATATGGGAACACATGCAAGCTGGACCCTGGTGTCTTGGGAACAGGTCAGAGTGCCCTAGAGTGCTCCTGCTAACTGCTGATTGATGGCTTCTGTAGGTTATGCTTGTCTTGCTTCTGCAAAATAGTAATTGTTGCTTAACAGAAGTTATTTAGGGGACTCTCCACCTGTATGCTTGGGAACCTAAACTTTTTACTCCTGGTTATAGTTTCTCTGTACAAAAAGTATCCCACAACATTTAGAGGTTTCAAAGATACAATTTCTATACAACAAACCCCCCCTAGAGGGAACTTTGTGACTGGTAAAGACAATGTAGAGTAACAGTAAGATTGATAATGTCTATTTATGAAAGAGGAGGAAGCTGGTTCCATGCAGATGAGGGGTTTGGATGGAAAATTGTATTTTCTAATGTAATTCCTTGATAATGTTTGCTCAAGCTTAACACTCAATGATTGGCTTCTGTATTCTGCTTGCTTGCCTAGCAACATGACCAATATAAAAAGAGCCAGAGTGCTTGCACTCTGGACCCTCTAGGAAAGAGTGAAGCCCAGCCGTGTAGCCCAGACATAATAAATCTTTCTTTCTTTCTTTCTCCAGACTCACCTGTTTGTCTGGGGCATTTGTGGATCCCAGACTATAACAACTACCTACGAATAGAGGGAATAATTCATCAAGAATAATAATTGTTGGCAGGGCATGGTGGCGCACAACTTTAATCCCAGTCACCACGCCCGGCTAATCTTCTGTAGAGAATTTTCAGAATATACTTCCCTAGACCAAGTCTATAAATCCAACCTTTGTTAGCAAAAGTGGACAGCAAGCCCTCAAGAAAGTCTGTTGGGTGAGGTCCTGGGTTCAAGTCCCAATGATCCACTCCCTTGACTTACAACAGTATCCACTCTACTCTAGCCTGTGGTTATCAGGAAAAGACACAAGCCCAGCAGTACCAAAAAAAAAAAGAAAAAAATCTGGACTTCTATCTAAAATCTGATTTTTTTTCGAGACAGGGTTTCTTTCTGTAGCCCCAGCTGGGCTAGAACTCACAATGTAGCCCAGGCTGGCCTTGAACTCAGAGATCCACCTGCCTCTGCCTCCTGAGTGGTGGGATTAAAGGTGTGCGCCACCACGCCCGGCCCCAAATCATTTTTTTTTTTTTAAAAAGTTAAAACTGCTGGGCGTGGTGGCACACACCTTTAACCCCAGCACTTGAGAGGGAGAGGCAGGCATATCTTTGTGAGTTCAAGGCCAGCCTGGTCTACATAATGAGTTCCAGGACAGCTGGGGCTACAAGGAGACCCTGTCTCAAAAAGACAAACAAACAAAAACAAAGTTAAAACTTATGCCACCATGCTTGACCTTCAGTGAATGTTTGATTCACGCAAGCTTAGGTTCCTAAACTGTCTCATTTAAATTTTTCCCCTACGTTAGTCTTTCAGAGTGAAATGTAGAAACAGATGTATTTTCTAGGAAGCAACTTGTCAGTAAACACAAGCCTTAAAATTGCTTCGACGCTTTCAGTAATTCTGAGAACTTACCTGCAGGAGGGGGCTAGCATGCTGATCACTGGCACACAAAGCATGGCTTAGATAAAAGGGGTATCTTATGTAAAAGAGGCAAAAAATGAAAGCAATCAACACAACCAATAGGGGAAATCTTCACTTAACAAAGCAGGTGTGAGATGCGCTACCTGCAGTCATCAGTCTTGATGAGCACCTGAAGTTTTCACTTTGTGAAAAGAACATTCTCAATAGCATGCTGAACGAAAAGAACAGGGAAGAGAACTGCAAATCCAGCCACCTTCAAGTACCACTCAGGCACCCAACATCAAAAGGAAATACATCAAAAGGATCAGAGTGTGATCACAGAACATTTCCCAGTGTTCACTAAGGACCAAGTTCTCACTTGTATGATCAATAACTGAAGTAAAGTTTGCTTTGAGAACAGGGAGGCCTGGTTTTTAAAGGTGGAGTACGTACTCACCACTGTAAGAACCTTGGGTTCCATCCCCAGCATTGCCCAAAAGGTAGGAGTGTAGAAATTCACCACAGCTCAGTACTGACTGCAATGTACTCCTTTTTATTAAATTATTAAATTGCCTGCTGTCAGGACATACACTTATGGAAATAAAATACCTTTTTCTCAAGTATCTGCTTTTGTGGAGCACATGGTTTTAAACAAACAACAACAAAATTCTATACTAACCTCTTGGCTTCAGAGCTATTTAGCACTTACAGCCAAATTATAAAGTGAAGCTATTCTATGTACAAGCAGAATTTATGGAAAATATTACAAAGATAATGCCTTGAAAAGATGACACAGTGGGGAAAACCATTTCTGCTAAAGTAGTATAAAAATTTAGTAAAAATAAAGTTTTAGTTCATTGTATCTTTGCACAATGCTTCAGAGGAAGAAAATTTAAGACATCTCATCAAAGGCACTTAGAGAATTGTGATAAAATACTTCATTGAATTTAGTTTGTGCACAAGAATATTTTTTTTACTCCTTTTCACATCTGCTTCACACTGAAGCAGTCCTGGAAGGAAGCTATGAATGAGAAAATGTTATTGCTCCTCAATATACATATGAAAAATACAGATGATTAATACAGATTTTTGGTCCACCAAAGCAAGTAATAGTATCAGACTGTAGTGTTCCTCTGAATTCTGAGCAAAAGGCTGTAATGAACCCTATCCCGGTCCCACAAACAGAGTTGGTCATGTGCTGGCTGTTGCCTGGGTCCCCACCATGTCACTGCAGTGTATTTGAACTGGAGAAGATCTTCCAGGTGGCCTTACAGGAGTGTTGGGCTGATGCAGTGGCAGGTGGTCCCAGAGAGTCCATACTCAGATATCTACAACTCTGTGTCCCGATACCGGGAGGGCTGGCTGTAGTAACTGCGTTTTGAGTGTGCAACCAGCTGTTGGCGGTATTCTTCCTCCTCAGCATCACTGCTATAGCTTCCTCTGGTATCCTGGTTAACTGTGGAAGATGCTTTCTGAGGCTCAGGGGGCCTAGAACTAAGAAAAAGGGCGTTAAGCACATCCCACATCCTCCAGCTGCCGATGGGGCTGAAGCTATGAGTCTCACAGACAGACCATTTCCTGACCCCAGAGCATACTACTCTCTCCACCACTGATCAGGCACTGCTGGTCCCTCTCAGGGTTCACAGGGTGATGGGGACAGAGATACAATATGAGTCATGACCAAGGCCTACTAGAGCAGTCATGTGTGCTCTGACCAAGAATTCCCAAAGTAGAAGGAAGAATGAGCCTGCCACACTCCTATGCTGCCTGTTACAGCCTCACTCCGTATGATCAGTCAATTATATACCAAACACTCTATTGCCAGCAGCAACGTGGTCAACGGTGAATTGGCAATCCATGTGCTCTGGCTTTCAGTAGATTCTGGCTTTCAGTAAGAAAGACTGCAAGAAAATCTGATTTATTTGTTTCCTATTCTCAGAAGCAGGAAACAATCCAACGTAAGACCTCTTTTTTCTTCTTTTTTTCTTGGTCTTTTTGAGACAGGGTCTCCCTGTAGCCACAGCTGTCTGGGAACTCACTATGTAGACCAGGCTGGCCTTGAACTCACAGAGATCCACCTGCCTCTGCCTCCCAAGTGCTGGGATTAAAGGCTTATGCCACCATGCCTGGCTGTAAGACCTCTTAGAGGAAGACACTGTGATAATTCCTAGTGTTTGTGATGAATTTAAATACTGAGCATTGGGGCTGGAGGGATGGCTCAGCAGTTAAGAGCACTGGCTGCTCTTGCAGAGGAACCCGAGTTCGGTTCCCAGCACCCACATGGTAAATAATACCCATCCTTAACTCCAGTTACTGGGGGTCTGATGTCCTCTTCTGACCTTTGCAAGCATCACACACAGGCAAACACTCAATACATATAAAAGAAAAAAATTTTTTAAAAATTAAATACTGAGCATCTCTCCAATGCTAGTTATCCCACCTGTGGTGGTCACCCTGCCTGTTAGGGTCCCTTCAGATCCAGCTGGGCACAACTGGCTTTATTATGCACAATGACACAAAGGATTAAGGAGTGTACCTAAGAGCCAGAAAACATTAATACACAGGCCTAAGCCCTAGGGATTCTGCATACATGCCATCCACAATTTAATGCTCCAATGTGTGAAGGGTACCAAGTACACAAGGAAAGGGACCTGAAATTTTTGATTCTGTAACCTTAATAATTAAGTCTGACTAACAGGGTAAACAGTTGGCCTGGGGAAAACCTCTCTTACTGTTCTGACACAAGTCCAAGTGCTGAAGAAACTCTGTTTTTGACTACTGAGTAGCTCTTACCTCATGTGCTGGGGCAGGCCGGCATCTGGCTTGGGGGGTTTGATAGGAACTGCATAGATTTCAGGGTGCTTCTGAGCGATTTCAATCTGCAGGCAGTTAGGAAAATAGAAGGAGGGAATGGGCGACTGAATGGTTCCTTCCCGGGTCTCCTGTTAGCCCCCACCCTCTTCCCAGATCCTACTCCTGTCTCCCACTTCATTTCCAGACAAAGACAAATAGATGAAACGCTTGTTTCCAAGGTTGTGTAGGACCTAGTGAAGCAAGTCAAACTCAGAGCTGTTTAAAAGGAGTGAATTACATTCACTGATGTAATTACAGAAAAGATGAGTCCTGAGACAGGATGCTGAGTGAAGTAAGCAAGTGACAAAAGACCCCACTTACGGGAGGCTCCTAAACCATCAAATTCAGAGGGACAGTAAAATAGTACAGCAATGGCTGGAGGGAGGACACCGGGGGAAGGTGTTACTGTTGGACGGGTGCAGTTTCATTTAAGGACCAGGAAAAAGTTCTGAAGGCAGATGGTAGTGATGGCTGCACAGCAATGTGAGTGCACTTAATGCCAATGAGCTGTGCACTTGAAAACAGCAGAAATGGCCGGGCGTGGTGATGCACGCTTTTAATCCCAGCACTCAGGAGGCAAAGGCAGATGAACTCTGTGAGTTCCATGCCAGCTTGGGCTACAGGGAGGCCCTGTCTCAAAACCAAACCAAACCAAACCAAAAAAAAAAAAAAAAAAAATCCAAAAACCACACAAACCAAACAAACATTACTACTGCTTATATTTGTAGACCCAGTTGTTCAGGGGGCTGAAGCTAAAATATGTCGTGGGCCCAGGGAGTTCCAGATCACCACAAGCAACATCAGTAAGGTCTCAAGAAAAGGGGAGGGAAGGAGAATGGGGGGGGCGTCCTGTCTCCCATTTCCTTACTGCTCCCTAAGGAAAGGTCTCACTATTTCACTCAGGCTAGTCACCAACTCCAGGGTTAAGTGATCCTCCTGCCTTGGCCTCCCAAGCAGTTTGGGACTACGGTGTCCCACCATGTCTGACATCACCGTAATTCTTCAACATTGAAGCATTCCATGTACACATTGGAAAAATTCAAATAGCTCAAAATGGGCAACGTACACTAGGCTCAATGGCTGCTAATATTCTGTGGCAAATCTCAAAGCAAAGGAAGACTGAGTAACCAATAACCATCACCCACACTGCCAACTAGCACTACTTCTGCAAGGTGCTGACCTCCCATTCCAGAACAAGACACAGATCTGAAGGATGAGAGCTAAACCTTACTCAGTTGGACTATCAGGCTTTCTTGACTAAAAGCATAAAAGATGTGTCAACAGCTGGCAATGTGGAAATGTCACGGGGTACTGTGCAGGTGACCATGTCTGCCATGTTTTTGGCAATGGAAAAGGGAATGTGCATTATATGGAAATCAAACCTCATTAAAACTCTTATTTTGGGCAAGGTAGACCCTTGGTAGTTTAAAGCAAATTACCCTGGCATTCTGTGCTTCTTGGAGCTCCTGCATCCTCTGTAATTTTGCCTTGTGGTCCAGCTTCTCAAATATTTTCACTCTGCCCAGGACTGATTTGGGAGCATCTTCCTGCTCTTCAGTGCTCTCCCCCACCTCCTCACTCTCAGGAGCAGGGACAGGAGTGGAGGGCTTCAGGATGGATCGTCCAAAAGTAGGTTTCACTGCAATAGGGGGAGGACACCCTTTGGGAGACCCCACCTGGATCTCACTACCAGCCAGGGCGGAGGGGTTTGACTTATGTTCCTGGGACTTGGAGAAAGAGTCTTCTCTGTTCTGATTTTTGGCCTGCAAGGAGCAATAACATATCTTTTTATACCTTAGACTTTTAGTTTATTTTCAAATCTACATTAGTGGCTTAATACGCTACATTTCCTGATCAGTTTCCAAAGGTGGGCAACAAATATCATCTTGATAAAGAATCAGATATGACAGGGCAAACAGCCACTAGTTGGGCATCCTGAGCCTACCTCAAGGTGACAGAGGTGCAGGGAGGTGGGAGGATAGCAACTGCTGGAGGTAGAATAGGCCCTGAATAATTTTATACTGGAGAAGATTGGAATCTTGGAGGAGACCTCAGAAGAATCAATTTGGAAGATGAAAGAATAGTTTATTCTGAGGTCAAGCTGCATTGAAGGTACATGCTGGGGGCTCAAAGGGGAGACCAGTGCCTAGTTGGGGAGCAATGAAAATGAGCTGAAGGCCAAAGGGGGTTGTGTGCATACTATACCCCCAGCCATTAATCCTTCACATTTGATTTAGTCCCACTGCAAGTCCTCACTAAATATTACCCAAGGCTACTAATTCTTGCTGACAGCTTAGATGCTGCTGCTTGTTTCTCATTTAAGTCAGAGATAGAAGGAAAAGCCTATGGTCACAGGCTGATTCCAATAGGGGGCAATGAATCAAATCACATGACACCCATGTCTTTATGCTGATTCTGCTCTAGATAACAATTAGTCAAATAGATTAACTTGCTCTCATACTGAGAAGCATGCATTCTAAATAATAACAATGCCTTTTTTCTTTAGCAGGTCTCCAGTAAGGATTACACTATGGGCAGAAAACTTTAATTGGATAGAAAAAAGAACAGATCCTAAGATTGATTATTCTACCATGCAGCTTTTGACCATATTTTACTTTTTCAAATTAAAAAAAAAAGCAAATAACTTACTCTCTGAGAACCTAAATTACATACTTTCCTAATAGTACCTTTCGTTCACTCCCATCTTTTCACACTTCCTTAATTTTCAAGCTCACTCAACAGCCCAAAGGACATGCTCTAACAGAAAATACAGTGAGCCCAAACCACAATCCAACACCATCTCACTGTGTGTCCCCCTGGCTACCCAGGGGGCTCCAGGGCACCTGCTTCCTCTTCCTTCCCATCCTGGGCTTCCCAGTCACGTACCTTGGGTGGCTCTGGCTTGAATGCTGGGGGTGGGCTACTGTCCCTAAGTTGATCTCTGCTAGCAGCCCTCCTCATCTGAGCTCGTGGCTCTGGGCTGGGTTTCCTTATGCTCTACAAAACATAAAGGTTCATTCATACCAAGAACACCCAAGCAGAGAGAAGAGAGCACTCTGCTTTGCTAGAGTTCTGCAAATTTGTGGAAACTGAGCAGTTGAAGTGCCAGGCCAGCATTCTCCTACTTGCAAAGGCAGATACTGGGCCCTTCCCCTCACAAATGCTTAAGACATTTCACTAAACTGGCTGCACCCAATGCAGTAGGCTTTATCTTTAAAGAAAGAAACCAAACAAAAACTCCTAATATCTAAAGTTCTTGTGTCACTAATGAGTATTCCTAAGCACTAACTCCCTCTGTATTTATAGACTTTCAGAAGCGAATTTACTCTTTCTAACTTGTCTAGCAGTGTGCATTCATTTTTATTGTGGTGGTAGACTTTTTGTTCTTGTTTTTTTTGGGAGGGGGGCTTCTACTTAATTTAGAAAAAAAATATCACTGACTGTCCAGTAAGGATGAGTTAAAACAGCTAAAGGGAAGTCCATAGCAATAGTCCATAGCAATTTTTATTCATATGTGCTTGGATAATCTAGTCCACAAAGGACTACTGGTATGTTACAAAGACTATTGTTCTCTGAGGTGCAACTAATAACTGCCCCAGCCCTAAATGACTGCCCACTGATGTAGTTTGTAGAGCTGTGTAAACTAGTGGGTTCAAGGTATATATGATCAAATGCATAAAGTCAAGTTGAAAAATGAAATATGAGAAGGAAACTGATGGGGAAATAATCAGGAACTCTAGGGAAATTAGGAGGTTAAAGGTCGAGGGGAGAAGAAAAGCAGGGCTCCTAAGAGTACAGAGAGAGGCTAATCAAAGGTTACAAGCAAATTGAGCAGTGACATAATCATTAAAAACGTTGCACTTATAATTTGAACAGCTGGCACATAAAACCAGTCTGTTTATCCATCACTCCTGAGGGTTAGTGAGTGCTGAATGGTACCACTCAACCTCTTCTAATGCCACTTTCTGGTCCCACTTTCCATGGACCACAGGACCACCCATGCAGGTGCTGACTCAAGAGTGTGACTTCCTAGCAGTCGTCTGCTTCAACCCTGGAGGATTCTTTCTATAGCACCTGAGTTAACAGCTTTCCTGCTCATGGCCAAACTGCCCATGGTGTGCCATGCCTCGCCTCACCTCATGCTGCACCGGCTCTGAGGAGCGGGTGATGGAAGACACCAGAGGCTCCTCAGTCGGCTCATCCAGCTCATTGTCAGTGTAGGTACCTCCCTCGCCGTCGGTGTCCTCAAAGTCACTGATGAGACGGCTGTCACAACTCAGATAGTCTGCACCCATGGCGGTTAAGTAGGACATACGATCTTCAGGGTCATCATCCATCCCTTCCATCTAGAGGAATTTGTTTTGGAGGGTCAATGGAGTCTGACATGGCTCCTGGGAATGGGTCTCAAAAAACTCCCAAGGGCAGAGCCAAGTGTCTGAAACCTTGGCAGGTGCTAGAAATGGACAGGATCTTTAGCGTCTTAGCATCACTTTGGTTGATGCTGATGCTAGGTTAATTTCTGCACAGGAACATAAATTTGAGACCCTCCAACTATCCTTGTTCTCATCCATCCTCTCTCCACAGCCGAGCCATACTTCCTGGCTTCACTTGGCTTCCAGAATCAGCTTCCCTCCAGCCTTTTCTGCTGGCCCCTGGCTCCACATTGTGCTGTGTGTGTTTCCACTCACTTACAACATCTCAGACCCAGGCTGGGACGCTACTCAGAGGTAGAGAGCTGGGATCAATACCCAGCACCATAAAAAGATTCTCAGAACCATGGGGACAAAAGCTACGTCCTATTCAATCTGTCCTCTCCAGGGAGCCTTGAAGACTGCAGCAAACCTTAGTCCATTTTGCAACAAAATCATCACTATAAAAACTTGCCAAGTACCTCAATTCAGCTGGAGTACAGGATGCAACAGTTCCTAGAACAAAGTGGGCTCCAATTGTAGACTTTCTCGTTTTCCTAGCAGCATGGCTAAGCAGTTCCTATCTCTAGGGATAAGCTATCCAACTTTAGAGGACTGGACAAGATCACTAGTGTTCTGGTATTACCTGTTCAAATTCAGAACTAGTGTGTATTCTCTGCCAACCTCTTAACTAGGCACAGACTCCCAGCTGTTAGCTCTTCTCTTTGGTAGAGTTTTTAACCATATTCCCCATGGTTCTCAACCTTGCCTCTCATCTCCACTCCAAGTTTCCCATGTCCTTAGTAAGCTGTGGCATTTAGCACAAGAACTTGTAAGCTCTGATTAGTGTACTTGGATACAATTAGAGTTGCTACATTAAAGGAAAAGGGAAGTGAATGTAGGGTGGTACCATTACGTTCTGCTTTTCCAAATCCCTTCATTTTATTGCTTTGTTGGAGAGTATGGAAAACTTGTGACTTGAAATACACATTGGAGTTGCTTTCAGCGGACATGATTTCCTACATTCACTGCCCTCTTGAGGAAGCATGGAAAACACAGACTCTCGCCTCACAGCAGGCCACATACCTTTCCTTCAGAGACCCAGACTGCTTCTCCTTGCTGCTGCTGAATGCTGTCCTTCAAGCTGCCAAACCAACTATCATTGGCTGAATTCAAGTTGATTGTGGCTATAGACATGTAAACAAAAAGGTCAGCAACAATTTCCAGAGCAATGTTTGTTCAAAAAGCCATTGACAGTATTTGTATTTATTTCTGTCATATTTTTGGAAAACCTTTGCCAAATTTAGGAAGTCTGTATGCTATTTAAAACTAAATTCTTGCTGAGCATGCTGGTGTACCCCTTTAATCCAAGCACTGGGGAGGCAGAGGCAGGCAGATCTCTCTGTGAGCTCAAGGCCAGCCCACCAGCCTGGTCTACATAGTGAGTTCTAGCTCAGCTGGGGCTACAGGGAGACCCTGTCTCAAAAAGACCAAAACAAAGAAAAAAACCAAAAAACTAAATTCTTATGGTTGAAAGGAAGTAAAGCCATTCTAGTTTATATTACAGATAGACAGATGTTATAAAGCTTACAATGAGGTTTATTTTCAGAATCTATTGTTTATTCAGAACACGCACCCCTCTCCCCCGAATGCTAGGAATAGAATGAATCAGGTCATCATAAATGCCAGGCATTTACCATCGAGTCACATGCCCAGCCCTAAAACCTGCAATTTTTTCTTTTTTTTTTGGTCTTTTTGAGACAGGGTCTCCCTGTAGAAAACATGCATTTTTTTTTTTTTTTTAAAAGTATGTTTTCAGGAACATAGATAAGATGGGCTATATCTTGAAATGTGAGTGGAAGTGGCTATACCTTGAACTGTGTGTGAGCGGAAGTAAACCCTTTCTCCCTGAAGTTGCTTTTTTCAGGGTATTTTTTTTATAGGAATAAGAAAGAAACTAAGACAAGTAGTGAAAGGAATGAGCCCTGCACTTCACCTGGTGCAAATGTGGAACTTTGTTTTCAGAGCCTGCAGCCTGGGCTATGCCCTCACATGTAAAGACACCAATTTGGAGTCCAGATATAAAATACCAACAGACACAGGACATGAAGCTGTTATTCAACATTAGGTATTTATGGATATAAGGGAGATAAGCCAGATAAGTAAAATGGTTCCAAACTAATAAATTGGACCTAAATGGGGATGAGGGGATGTCTCTGGGTAAGAGCACTTGCTATAAAAGCAAATGGATGTATATTTAAATCCCTAGGGCCCATTAAGAGCCAGGCATGGCCTGGTGTGCCTATAACTTCTGCACTGGGAGGTGGAGACAGGTGGATCCTGGGAACTCAATGGCCAGCCAGCCTAATGGTCATATAACTCCAAAGACAAATTAAGTATTAATTAATATAAAAAAATCTAAATAAATGATCAGGACTGAAGATAAACCAGGATTTAAAAAAAAATGCTTTCATGGCTCTTAATTAGAGGGCATAGAGGTCTATATCATTTCTAAAATCAGAAGATCCATTAAGCAAATTTTCTGAGTTACTCTGCTTCAAGTTTTCTTTTCTAACCCTGAAGCCATGTGAGATGGTACACACCTATAACCCCAGCATTAGGGAGGAAAAGAAAGGAGGAGCAGAAATTCAAGGTCATCCTTGACTATATAGTAAGTATGAGACTAGCTGGGGGGTACATGAGACCCTGTCTTGAAAAAACAAAAAGGGCTACTTCTAACCTTGGAAAACCCTGAATGAGCTTACTATTTCCTTGCTTATTAATTATTTACAGCATTAGGCTAAACTGATACACCGGACTGCCCTAGGAAATTGACCTTGATGCTATGGATTTTTGTGTCCTCATCATGGCATGTCACAAAGACTATTGTGACATAGCTAAAATATGATGCCAGTACATAAATACAGAAGTGAGAGTGTGTGAGTGTGCAGCCCAGAGACTTGGAGCAATAAAATAAGTGACTTGGAGCAAGTGTATAAAGAATGTTAAGTGGCTATTTCTTATTTATTTATTTTATATTTTATGTGTATGCATGTATTGCCTGCATGTAGGTAAGTGCACCCATGTCGTGCAATGCCAGCAGAGGTCAGAAGAGGCTGTCAGATCCCCTGGGACTGGAGTTACGGACAGTTGTCAGCTGCCATGTGGGTGCTGGGATTCGAACCCGGGTCTTCTGCAAGAACAACCAGTGTTCTTAATGCTGAGCCATCTCTCCAGACCGTGGCTATTTCTTAAGATTTATTTATTTTATGTGTATATGTGTATCTGGTGTGTGTGTGCAGTACCCACAGAGGCCAGAAGAGGGTGACAGAGCTTCCATTTGGGTGCAACCAAATCTGGGTCCTCTGCAAGAGTAGCAAGTGTTCTTAACTGCTGTCCCATCTCTCCAGCCTTTCGGTGGCCTTTTAAAGCTATTGTTATTGGAAACTGTCTGATACAGCCTATATTCATCACAAAGAAAATCTAAGTTAAAGGGGCTACTTAAGAAATGTAGAAATCACATTCATGCCCCTCTACTAATAGGAATGCCTCGAAACCTCTTATTGAGTTTCACTGGCAATTAAGTGTTTGAACAAATAACAAGAGTTCCACAGCAGCTAATTTCCTAGGCCCCAATCAAAGGTAACGCCTAATTCATACACTTTATCTCTTTTTAAAAAGGTTTACTATGGCTTTCGAACTCAAGGAAGTAGAATTCTGAGAGGCTCCTCTCTTTGCCACTATCCCTGCTGGTATGCATAGATCCTCATGCCCAGCTCTCACATGTGTGGGCAGTGCCTCCCCATTCCCAGTCAAAGAGGGGAGTGTACCAAGAGCAGCAGCAATAGGCTGGAAGCTGGAAGGGCTGGGGAGAAATTGGTAATGATTGCTAATGGGTATGAGATATCTTTGACAGGTTAGGTTTCTCTAAACGTGGTGATGGTTACACAACTGTGAAGGAACTTAAACCTCACTGAAGTGTGTACTTTAAATGGGTCAATGGTATGGCATGTAAGTTACATCTCAGTAAAGTTATCCTGTGGCTTCCTAAACATTGAGGTGTTTGGCTAGACAAGTCTCCCAACTCCTGAGAATATTCCCT